GGGGGGGTTCAACAATGAGGTCAAGTTGGCGATACTTAAAGGGTGAGTCGACTGGAGAATGCGGGACAGCAGACGCACTCTTGAGGGGCGTGGTGCCAGGGGTCTATTGTACGGAACACGAGATCAATACCCACCCGTGGGAAGTCCAAATACAGGGAGATAAAAACCTTAGAGGTTAAGGTATTGTCGCTCGTGCGTGTGTGTATGCGTGTGCGTAAGTGTGTATGTATGTGTGTGTTTGTGTGTGTATGTATGTGTGTGTTTGTGTGTGTATGTGCGCGCGTGAGTGTTTATGTGTGTGTGTTTGTACGTGTATGCGCGCGTGAGTGTGTGTGTGTATGTGTGTGTGCATGTGTGTGTGTTTGTGCGCGGGCGCGAGTGCGTGTGTGCGTGCGTGCGTGCGTGCATGGACGATATAAAGAGTCGTGAACGAGGGCAACCGCGCAAGCACGAGCGTATGAGCGAGCATGAGATGTGTTTATTTGCAGAGAGTGCGTGCGTGAGCACGCGTCTGCGTATAATAATGTGCGTTTTCGGGAAGTGGGGATAGAAGTATAATATTATAGTGAGAAGGTATAGTTGCGCCTATCAGCCAATCATCCCTCCATTCCGCCTGAAGTTCGACAGCCTGACGAGCAAGAAAGGGGGGTGAACAGTAGTGAGGCGGGAGTGGGGGTGAGAGTTAATTTATCTTTTCCATTCCAGGCCGATATAGACACGACGACATACTACGACGTTCTTGCCTCTTCAGATGACGATATATGACTCTTCGTGATCTCATTAAAACGACAGAACAAGGACCACTAGGCTAGCACTTGGAAAGTTTGAAACACAACTCGATGACAGACGGTGAGCTAATTAACATTTTCAAGTACGTGAGTGAACGAGTCCCAAAAAGAAATTAATAAAGCCATAGAGACGGAGGTAGGGATGGAGGAAGAGAAATGGAGTGAGAGAAGGGAGCGAAAGAGGGGTGGGGGAGGGGGAGAGATGGAGAAGCAGAGACGGGCAGGCAGGCATTATTATTATTAATTATTTAGTTTTTCATTATTTTTATATTATTATTATTATTATTATTATTATTATTATTATTACCATTATCATTATCATTATCATTATCATCATCATCACTATCATCAGATTATTCCATACCCGTGTCTGCCCCAGTTCGAGGATAACAGAACCACACGAAGACAAACACTGTATTTCCATCATAGAACACACCATGACGAACTGTCCAAGATATGACATATACACGAGCAGAAAACCTCTCCCCTGTATGCAAAAACACAGAAGACAATATATGTAGGCCAAAACCCGCGGCCAAATCGTTATGAGTACGGAGAAAACATTAGCATTCCTCACTTTCTCTCTCTCTCTCTCTCTCTCTCTCTCTCTCTCTCTCGCTCTCTCAAAAAAAGAAAAAGAAAAAGAAAAAGAAATCAAGGAGAAACCGCACACTAATCTCAATTCTTTTCCATATATGGTAATTTCAAAAGTAGGTCAACTCTTAAGTGCCGCTTCGTTCCCACAGGGTATAAAAATAAAACGGACAATGGAATAGAGGACGTCACGAATCAATAATCAATACCAACTCCTTTTTGTGTGTGTGTGGGATTTCCGTTTTGTTTTGTTTCTTTTCTTTATTATTATTATTCACCATAACCACCACATTGCTACCAACGCCTGTCACTTCGCCCGCACGAGACACTATAGCGAGCATCAGAGTCCGCTCTGTCTGCGACGTCCGTTCGCTCCTCTATAGTATAAGCCTTCCGATGAATATGGATTCATGAGACGTACGGCAAATCAGATCAATAGCAAATTATTACTGTGTAATCGTATTTGTCTGCCACTGCAACGGTGTCTCGGGGCTATTGCTTTCTGTCACAGAGAGCTATCGGTCGGTTTATAGTGTATCGCCGTCTCTTCTGCTGCTGGACGCTGTGGTACAGTACACCCAACCCGGAAGCCCTCCAACCGCCAACCCCAAGCTCTGTTGGAATAATTAATTATCAATAGAGGGGAAGAGGAAGCGAATCTGAAACTTTTCAAACAGCCTTAGTTCAGCTGCGTTCAGTTGCTGTGTTTTTTCTTCAGTTAAAAGAAGTGCAGTGTCACACTGACGGCTATTTAGAGCTTGGGAAAAAAGTAAGAGTGTTAGGAAAAAAACAGCAGGAGGGAAGATAAGAAGCAGGACCAACAATTGGCACCCTCAACCACCAACAGGTTTACACATACATGCAACTGGAATGTACATCGGGTCAGAGACAATGTTCTCAAATCTCCAACTCTGATTGAGCTAGTGCCAAGCCTAATGAAAGCGTTTACAGCACTAATAATAGCTTCAGGGGTTCACTGTTTTAAAAATAGGCCAAAAGCGACTTAGGCGGCAAGAATAATATATCTCAAACCCAAAGAGTGTGTATCCCATACGATCCATCCCTCTGAAAGACAGGTCAGCAAGAAAAGAAACAAATAGAGAGAGAGAGAGAGAGA